TACTTGAAAGTGATGAGTTTAGTGCCGATTATTTGAGTTTTATAAAGTGGCGGGCTTTGTAAAAGGTTAGAAGTGGGAAACGGAGAAAAAATTGTACTATTACTGTGACATGGCACGTAACTTTGTGAATTGTGATGCTACGTGGAAGTTTCACACACTCTCTGTGCCACTCTGTGCCTCTGTTTTTAGCACATTTGGTATAGATAGTTCCAACTGGAAAATAGGTGTTTACACGGTTCTTATCTAACTTTTTATTTTGGATTATTTATTTAATTTAATTTAATTTATTAGTTCTTTGATTTAATATTCTGAATTCCTAAACACCGCCCTCATATTATTATTTACTGCCCCCTGAAAAGTCTAAAACGTCTTCCATCCACTCTCTCTTTCTCTTCTCCTTTCTTTCTCCCTTATCCTGTTTCTCGATTCGGCCACTTTCGATGTCAGAAAAAATTTCGAAAAAATGTCGGGACCACCACAACGCGGAGGCAAGGGATTATTCGTTGAATCGGTACGTTTTTTTTTCGATCAGATAAAAATTTTAAATTTTCTTTTTCTGTTAGACGGCCGGCCACCCTTGCCGGCCGAGAAAGATCGGGCTGGCCGCAGATGTCGGCCCGTGCGGCCCAGCGGCCAGCTAGTTTTCGGGCGGCCCCGCCTTGAGCGACCGTCATTTTCGGCCGGCCGCGCGTTTTTCGGTCGCCGTCGGCCGGCCTTTTTCCTTTTTTCTTTTTTTTTTTATTTAATTTAAAAAAATAAAAAATAATTTTATATATTAATAAGTTTCAAAATATTAAAAATTAATGAAAATAATAAAACAAATAATAATATTGTAAATATTAAAAAATAAAAATAAATAATAAAAATTTAAAATTCAAATATTATTTTGTTGTTTAAAATAAAATAAATAAGTATAATTTTTTTGTTTGTTAATTAATTTGTTTAAGAAATTAAAAAATGTTAAAAATTAACTGAATATATTAAAAAGTTTAAATTTTAAAAATATTAATAATTTAATTATAAAAATATTATAATATGATAAATAAATAAATAATAAAAAGTTTGAAAATTAAAAAAAAAAATATTTTAAAATATATAAATAAAATTGATTTAATATATAAATAAATTACGTAATAAAATTAGTTGAATATATTAATATAATTTCATTAATAAGAGTTCTATAATTATCTTATAAATAATTATAAGATAATGTTAATTATGTTATCATAATTATTAAATAGTTTAATTTGTTGATTTAGAGTGATGGATCTGAGCGACTTGAGGAGTTTGGTCAGCTTGAGGGTTCTGGACCCCGACACACGCAGATTCGGTTTGTAGATGCCGACACTCGTCGGGTGAGACAAGCGAGGATCCGTGAGGCTCAGATAGCTCAGGATGAGACGGCTGGAGATTGGCACCTCTCGTTCCTTCGGTACCGAGTGGTCAGCAGAGCGGTGGGCAGCCCAGCTCATCGATGGCTGGCAGTTTGGGGAGTATGTCGAGGATACGTATTCGTTGGTCATCGGCTTACACACCGATCATCGAGAGTCCGGTCCACGATTATGACGATGACCAAGACGATGATGAGGACGAGGAGTTTCACTCTGGAGATGAGCAGACCACGTTAGTTCCTTCTCCCCTTGTACGACCTGTTCCTCCACGACAGGCTGGGGGCCGTTTTGCGGGTGCTGGATCCTCCTCTGGTAAATACTCTACGTACTTTAATTTTGTTACTGTTAGTTACATATACTTTTATTTAGTAATAGCATATCATTGATACAGTTAGTCACAATATGCCGTGTATATATCTATACTTATTTGTTGTATTGTAAATGCAGGTTTGAGTAGTAAACGGTCTAAGAGTGATGACTCTTAGATCGTTAAAACCCCAGTACCCGGTGGCCCCAGTGACGGGAGCGTTATACCTAGCTTTCTAGGGCACATGGCCTCTCGTATGATGTTTCCTGTGCCAGAGCGGCGTGTTAGAGGCCTATTGAAATGTCAAAACAGGCATGCAGCGCACGCCACTTTGAAG